TTTAAGATATAGTCTCGCTCTGTTGCACAGGCTGAAGTGCAGTGGCACGATCTCAGCTCACCGCAAACTCCGCCTCCTGGGTTCAAGCAATTCTCCTGCCTCAACCTCTCGAGTAGCTGGGACTACAGGCCCCCACCATCTCACCCGGGTAATTTTTATATTTTTAGTAGAGATTGGGTTTCACCATGTTGGCCAGGCTGGTCTAGAACTCCTGACCTCAAGTGATCCACCCACCTCGGCCTCCCAAAATGCTGGGATTACAGGCGTGAGCCACCACACCCAGCCAAGCAATGATATTTTAATTGTTGATGCTTCTGTTTCTATTCACCCAACACTCTGGACCAAGAGTCTTTCAAAATTGTGAAAGTCCCTGTGGACAGGCCACACCTACAGCTAGCCTAGAATTTTCTCTTCTAACCAAACCTAAATTCTTTTCTCTCCCAAGGCCTGTCCCTAACCCACTATGCTTAGGCTTCAATTTGAGTGAAATAGTACGGTCAACAGTAGCTTCGCCAAAGTAGACCTTTAGTCTAGATGTCTGCCTGTTTCTTTCTTTCTTTTTTTTTTTTTTCCTTTAAATCATGTCCATTTTTTTCCCCAACAGCCATTGTAATATACCCTAAACTGTTTGGCTCAAAGTTCAAAAAGAATCCATCCAGAATGCCTCCTGCAAGCATTCCCCTTTTCTTCCCCAGTCCCTGCAAATCCAGCATCAATTATCACTCCAGGCATTCTGGCTGATTCCAAACCCATGCTGCTTCTCACCAGATCCAGAGCTTCCCAAAAGCATATAGATTATATCCTTCTTCTCACTAGGTGCTTATTACTGTTGATGGTGATGTATGCAGTGGGTACAATATCTCCATCTTCAGAAGGAAAAGTTTAGGCTTTAGAAGGAGACAGACTAGGTTCAAATCCCTGCCCTTACTAACAGTGTAACATCAAATAAGGTGCTTAATCACTCTGGGCCCTGGTTGACTCATTTATAAGATGGCAATAAAAAGCCCTACCTCATAGCTCATTATAAGGATTAAATGACAATATATATAAGTTCAGCATAATAAATGGAAACTATTTATTATCAGTAGTATTAGTATTGTTTTCATCAGTAGCCCCACAGCTTTGAGTCTGGACTTCTTCAACTGGCCACCAACAAGCAAAGTGATTCCTCCAGTCTTTTATATGTCACAGATAACCATGCAGCAAGCTGTTTAATGTTCTTTGTCTTGGGCATTAGCACCACATTACATATAAAAGAGTATTTTTTCCAAAACAATGCCTTAGTAAGTGCACCTTAGAGGGAAAATGTAAGGCACTTGAGTGAATTGCAAATACATGAAAATGATGGTCTCATTGATATTTCTATTCCCATCTCTTCTCCTTCCAACAATTCTTAAAGAATTGTTGGCCTGGCTTGGTGGCTCATGCCTGTAATCCCAGCACTTTGAGAGACTGAGGCGGGTGGATCACCTGAGGTCAGGAGTTCGAGACCAGCCTGACCAACAAGGTGAAACCCTGTCTCTACTAAAAATACAAAAATTAGCCAGGCGTGGTGGTGGGCACCTGTAGCCCCAACTCCCCACTTGGGAGGCTGAGAAACGAGAATTGTTTGAACCCAGGAGGCAGAGGTTGCAGTGAGCCAAGATTATGCCATTGCACTCCAGCCTGGGCAATGTAGTGAGACTCCATCTCAGCAAAAAAAAAAAAAAAAAAGAATTGTCTATAGTACATCAACCTAATCCACAAACAGGGGCAGGTAATAGAAAACAAACAAATAAACAAAAGCTGCTTTAAACTATTTAGGGCAGAAGAAGGAGTAGCAGTAAGAGAAGGACAACCACATTGCTTCTAACCAGATTTTTATTTTCACAGCCCAAACTTTTAGCAAGAGAGTTGCTGGATCTCGTGGCTTCACATTTCAACCTGAAAGAAAAGGAGTATTTTGGAATAACGTTCATAGATGACACGTAAGTCTTTTAATAGTTTTAGTTTCTTTACCTTTTGCGTGGGCTACCTACTTGCTGTCATCCATAAGTAACAAGAAAGGAAATAAGTCCTCCAGGAATTAGAACATGTCCTGCTTAAAGGTTTTTTAATATGCGATTTGTCCCCTAGGACTATTGCAAAGGAAGAAGAAAAGGAATACTGACCATTTTAGTACTCAAAACATTGTTTTAGAAATTTGTAGTCATGGCTGGACACAGTGGCTCATGCCTATAATCCCAGCACTTTGGGAGTCTGAGGCAGACGGATCACGAGGTCAGGAGTTCAAGACCAGCCTGACCAGTATGGTGAAACCCCATCTCCACTAAAAAAACAAAAATTAACTAGGCGTGGTGGTGTGCACCTATACATAGTCCTAGCTACTCAGGAGGCTGAGGCAGGAGAATCACTTGAACCCGAGAGGCGAAGGTTGCAGTGAGTCGAGATCACACCACTGCACTCAAGCCTGGGTGACAGAGAGAGGCTCCACTTCAAAAAAAAAAAAAAAAGATATTTTTAGTAATGAGTTTGTTATTCCTGATTATAGTGTATATTCACGTCTTTGAATGTGGTTGTGCTTGCTAATTTAGCTTATGTATCAGTGATAGAAATACTAGACATTTACTCACATCTCGAAACTGAGTTGATGTGTTGGTGTTGGTGACAAGAGAGCTTAAAGGTAAATTTGTGGCCCACCCAAAAAACATGTATATAGTTTAATATGGAATGAACTTTTAAACTGCCACTTAGGTCCAACTTATGTCACCTTCTCAACTGTCTCTCTTTTTTTTTTTTTTTTTGCTTTTTATGCTAAGTTGTTGAATATTATATATATTTGTCAACAATATATTTGCTCCCTGAAAGAAGGCAGGTAAATAAAAATAAATTCATGAGAATTTAAAACTCTATGTAAGCAAAACTCTATGTAAGCAAATGTGTTTGGACTTACTAGCTCTTTTCTCTTTCTCCGTGTTGTGTGTGTGTGAGTTTGTGTGTGTGTGTGTGTGTGTGTGTGTGTGTCTGTGTGTGTCTGTCTGTCTGCCTGACTGTCTTTTTTATGGCAGCCCAATTTGCCTACATTATATGCAGCCAGATACATTATCAGAGGAATCCTTCCTCTTTCTGCACATAATTTCCAAAGAGCTCCTTACATATTAAAATGTAAGAAGATATGTTCCAGACATAAAATATGTTGGCCAGCCGTGCAGCATTCTTTCCATAATGCTGGCAATTTAGATGTTTTTTTCAGTTCTTCAGTTTAATCAGGTGGAAAATCATCTCAAGAAGGAGTGACTTTTAACACCTTGTGACTTCCCATTATTCCTGGCCTGGGTGGGTTGTGAGCCTAAGACCTCCAGGATATGCCAGTAGGCTCGGGACTTGGGCTTGGCAAAAACCAGGCAGCTGAATTGTCAAGAGAAGTAGAAAAACCTGAAAACTTTGATTCTGGATTGAGGATGTTTCCCAAAGAGGGTTCAACAAGGCAGAAGAGAATACACTGGAGTCACCTCACTCTGAATCACTCAACAGCTGCCATTTGAGAGGCTCTGTATGACATGTCCTCTGCTGGATGAAATGGGAAATGCCAATGTCCACTGACAACAAGTTCATGCTGGAAAGCCAGCGCCAGCTCATGTGAATCAGTGATTGAACACACACACAAATAGGCTGAATCTGAATGTGGATGAAATCATAGCAAACAGTATAAGACATAAGCCATAAATATACAATGGCTAGGTTATATGGCATAAACTGTAATTATAGTACTATAAGCACTATAATTTAGGCAGAGGTCACAGAGAGTAGAGGTTAAGAACATGAATATTGCAGTAATTTATTCACTGAAAAATACTGACTGGGTGTGATAGTTCACATTTGTAATCCCAGCACTTTAGAGGGCTGAGGCAGGTGGATCCCTTGAGTCCAGGAGTTTCAGAGATGCCTAGGCAACATAGGGAGACCTCATCTCTACAAAAAAAAATTTAAAAATTAGCCAGGCATGGTGACACACATCTGTAGTCCCAGCTACTTGCGAGGCTGAGGTGGGAGGAAAACTTGAGCCCAGGAGGTCAAGGCTGCAGTGAGCTATGATGATGGCACTACTGCAGTCCAGCCTGGGCGACAGAATGTGACCTTGTCTCCAAAATATATATTTATTTACATTAAGAATGGCTCACACCTGTAATCTCAGCACTTTGGGAGACCAAGGGTGGGAGTATTGTGTGAGCCCAGGAGTTCAAGACCAGCCTAGGCAACATAGTGAGATCCCATCTCTACCAACACACATACACATAGACATACACACACACAAACAAATAAAAAATCAGCTAGGTATGGTGATGTACAAACTCTAGTCCTAGCCACTCAGGAGGCCGAGGCGGAGGTGGGAGGATTACCTGAACCTAGGAGTTCAATGCTACAGTGAACTTATGATTATGCCACTGCACTCCAGCCTAGGCAATACAGCAAGACCCCATCTCTAAAAATAAAAATTAAATATTTTTTGAATGCTCACTCAATGCCAGGTGTTGTTCTAGATCACAAGGATTCAGCTAGGAGTAACACAGACAAGGCCCCTGTTTTTATGGAGCTCATATTGCAATGGTGTAGTCTAGCATAAAAAGTAAACAGATAAATCAAAGAAATATCAGCAATTACAAGTGCATTGAAGAACATAAAAGGCCATAACCAAGAAAACCTGGGGTCAGTTTTAGACAGAGTGGGCTAGGACAGTATCTAGGAGGTGACATATAATGAAAAGCAAGAGCCAGTTCTGCAAAAGTCTGGGAGGCATTACAAGCAGAAGCCAGTGCAAAAGTCCTGAGGTGGGGCTGAGCATGACTTTTGTGATTTTTTTTATTATTATTATTATTTTTATTTTTATTGAGAAAGAAAAAGCAAGGCTGGGCACAGTGGCTCACACCTGGAATCCCAGCACTTTGGGAGGCTAAGACAGTCAGCTCACTTAAGGCCAGGAATTCCGGACCAGCATGGGCAACATGGTGAAACCCCATCTCTAGTAAAAATACAAACCAAAAAAATTAAGGGGCATGGTGGTTCACTGAAGTCCCAGCTCCTCAGGAGGCTTAGGTGGGAGGATTGTTTGAGGCCAGGAGGTGGAGGTTTCAGTGAATGGTGATCTCACCACTGCACTCCAGCCTGAGCGACAGAGTGAGAACCTGTCCCAAACAAAAATAAAGCCAGTGTGATGAGAGTCCAGAGATTAAGAGGGAAAGTGGTACAGGAAGAGGGTTGAGAGGGAGGTAGGAGCAGGTATCAGAGAATCTTGAGAGCTAGCTGTGTGACCTTAGACCAATTACTTACCATCTGACACTCAAGTTTTCTCATATGTATGCTGGACATAATAGTATCTTATATAGTATTACGACACAGGGCACCTATAAATAGGGTACTAGTATTCAATACTATTAAATCAGGTAAGGTATTACGACACAGGGCACCTGTAAATAGGGTACTAGTATTCAATACTGTTAAATCAGGTAAGGTATTACGACACAGGGCACCTGTAAATAGGGTACTAGTACTCAATACTATTAAATCAGGTAAGGTATGCAGAGCATATAGCATAGGCCCACAATAAAGGGAGCTATCAGCCAGGTGTGTTGGCTGATGCCTGTAATCCCAGCACTTTGGGAGGCTGAGGTAGGTGGATCACTTGAGCCCAGGAGTTTGACCCCAGCCTGAGCAACATCGTGAAGCCCAGTCTCTACCAAAAACACAAAAATAAGCTGGGCATGGTGGTGGGCACCTGTAATCCCAGCTACTTGGGAGGCTGAGGCAAGAGAATCCAGCCTGGGCAACAGAGCGATACCCTGTCTCAAAAAAAAAAAAAAAAAAAAAGTTGGGGGGGGCTATCATCCAATGTGTTGCAGTAAGAAAGTGCTGAGGAAACTGAAGGAGGACTGGAGTAGGTGTCGCACACAGAGGAGTAACTAAAATTGGATCTTGCAGGTCAGGTAGACTTTAAATAGATGGGGGGTGGGGTGGGAGGTGACTTTCTAGGCATGAGTTATTTTGTGGGCAAATGCATGAACATGGCAGTGAACAAGGTGCATTTGCCCAAGAGTGAAGACATTGGCCTGATGGGGACAAGATCAAGGGAGAGCCTTGCTAGTCACACAGATAGAGGAGGCACACCCAGGCCATGGAAGGATGTTAGACAGAGGAGGAATGTGGCTTATGACTGCAGTGTCAGAGGCCCCTCGGGCTGCAAGGTTTGTGACAGACTGGAAAGAGGGTCCTGGCCACACGGAAGGCTTTGGGAAAAGCTCCAAGTTCAGTTGAACATAAACCAGGCAGTGCATAAGTCAGAGGTTCAGACTGTAAGACCTTCTCTTCAGAAAAAAAAAAAAAAAAGGGAATAATATGCTGGGTGCGGGGGCTCACGTCTGTAATCTCCAAACTTTAGAGGCCAAGGTGGGTGGAATCACCTGCGGTCAGTTCAAGACCGGCCTGGGCAACATGGTAAAACCCTATCTGCACTAAAAATACAAAAATTAGCCTGGCATGGTGGCAGGCACCTATAATCCCAACTACTCAGACAGCTGAGGCATGAGGGTCACTTGAACCCGGGAGGTGGAGGTTGCAGTGAGCCGAAATGGTGCCACTGCACTTCATTCTGGGCAACAAAGCAAGACTCTGTCTCAAAGAAAAGAAAAGGAATAATAGGAATGTCTTCCTTCAATGATTTGGGCCACCCTCCTCATTGTGCCCTGAGATTTTTCTCAAAACTACACTGAGAGAAGAGTGCTCACACAGCCCCTTTCCCAGTTATCTCCTTTGGCTTATGACCAGTTTGGAGAGGCACCTCCTGGCTCTAGCTGTGTTTATTTTCAGAAGAAGTATGAGTGGGGCTGTTGAGGGGGTGGAAATTGGCCATTTCCACCTTTCTGGGGAGCGGGCCTGGAAAATTGCTTATGTCTAAGGGTGTCTCCTTGGAATGTCTTGGTCATAAGCCTAGTTCTTTTTCTTTGTCTGGTAAATATTTTTGGAAAGCATTTTCTTTCAGCACTCCCTCCTCCCTCTTTTCACCCCCGGAAAACCACTGAGTGAGAGCCCTCCCAGGATGCCGTCTGAGTTGCATTTTCCAGCCTAGATGCCACGTGCATCTTTTGCCTTTGGTGAACTTTAAATAGAGGAACACAAAGCTGAAAGGAACATTTTGCCAATGAAAGTAGCTACTGTCTACAACTCATCCACAGACCAAGAGGAGAAATAGACAGCAGTTACGTAATAAAAGCAGCGATGATGACCAACCAGAACAGATTCAAGGTCACGTTACCAGGAGAGGGATACAGTTCCTGAGATTACACGTGTTAATACCTTCGGCAGCTGTGTGTGCAGAGTGAGTCTTTTACCCCTAGAGGGCAGTCACGGCCCTCCTGAGGCACCAGCCCTTCAGGTCACCATAATGGTTCCCATCTCTGCTAAATAAGCTTTGTTTACCAAGAAATAAATAGCCTTTACAACACGACTGCGACTTTTGGTCACTGTCCCTTCCAATGGGACGGTGACGATGGGCCTTCCACTGTATAATTCTAGCCAAAAATAAAACTTGCTTTGTGGTTGGTCTGCACGCCTGACAGGGGTACGTATGACCATCTTTTTAAGATATTGGTTAGATCTGTTATATTTGCTGATGGGAAAACTTGACAAAAGCAAGTTATAAGCAAAAAGTAACCTTGATTATACTACAGTGATAGAATTATGGGGCTTTAAAAAAATTATTCTAGACTTTTTTCTATTGATGAGATTGTGGGTAGATTTTTAAAATCTACTTTGTAATTTAACCTTTTAAAAAACTATCTCATATTATGTATACATGAATGTCTTCTTCAAGGTCATGGTTGAGTCCAGTCCCTTTTGACTACCTTCCCACTGTAACTGTAGTTTCTTCCACAGAGGTAACCAATACTAGCAAGTTGCTGTACAACTCTCCAGAAACATATCCTAAAATGTTCATTAATATTTAATAGCGTTTTGAGTGTGCTTCTGTAGTTAACATAAGTGGTTTATGCTGTATATGGTATCGTACAATTTGCTTCATTCATTCATAGACACCATTCTATGCAAGTTCATACAAATATACATTATGCCTTCTACTTATTTTTAGAGACAGGTCTTGCTCTGTTGCCCAGGCTAGAGTGTAGTGGCATGATCATAACTCACTGCAGCCTTGGACTCCTGGGCTCCAGTGCTCCTCCTGCCCCAGCCTCCTGAAATGCTGAGATTATAGTGTGAGTCACCACATCTAGCCCATTATGCTTTTAAAATGATGTATCTTTCCTAAGAAAACTTTTGAGACCTGATACTATAAAATAGGTTATGTATTTGAAGACACACATTTGAACATCTGTGAAATTGGGATGTGTCTTTAAATCATGGCACTCTAAACTTGATGAAATATAGTGTAAGACTCTTCTAATGTCAGTCCCCATCTTATTTTGTTTGTTTGTTTTGCACACAAATGCAGTAGCTCTAAGAACTTCCCCTTGTGTTACTTATATCAGCTTATTTATCTTCGTAATATTCCTGCAAGGAAAGCTGGGAACAGGTATAAGAAGCCTTGTCTTGTAACTGTGGAAACAAAGACACACTCTTTCCAGTGTTCAACTTGATAGGTATCAGAGACTGAGTCAGAAGTTATTATAAAAGCAGACTCAACCTTATGGTCTCATTTTCTCCAGTACTGAAAGTCCTGGGTACTTTTATGTACAGTCCACTTAAAAAAAAAAAAAAAAGGAAGGAAGGAAATTCTGGATTCAAATGTTCGATGCCAGCTCTAGCACTTTCCCCACTGACTTATTGTAAAATATAGCTTTAATGTATAAAGAGTTCCAATTTGATTAGCACAGAGTCATTTCTCAATAGAGACTAGCTATTGTTATTCCTGCTAATATTAATTATGCCCACTTTTCTGTCTACTTATAATGAATACGGCTTAGATTTTTCTGATTTTGTTTTCTAGTTTTTCACTCAAGGACCAAAATGGTTTGAAAATGTCTTCCGGTTCATTATAGATTTTATTACATTTTGACATGCTATCCCACCACCATCAGCATGTTCTTAGCTTGAATTTTATGTAAGCAAGTAAATGAGGGTCTATGCCCTCTGGGAATTTACAACCTAAAATGGATAGACTAGTTGGACAGCATCGGAAAAGGCATGTAAACAGTTCTGAGCCCCAGTGTCATCAATCCTTTTGATCCCTCAGGGGTCAAAATCTAGAGAGAACTGTTTATATACATGAACTTGGTGAGGCTCTGGAGTAAATAAAATAAACAAGTACATGCTTAAACCTTAGTAAGTCCATAAGATACACACAGAAGTGGCACTCAGAGAGTATTCAGCAGTGTACTTCTTTAGAGACAAGTTCTCCCTCTGTTGCCCAGACTGGGCTGCACTGGCACAGTCATAGTTCACTGCAGCCTCAAACTCCTGGACTCGAGCAAGCCTCCGGCCTCAGCCAGTCCTCCCACCCCAGCCTCCTAAAGTGCCGGGATTAGAGGCATGAGCCACTGCCCCTAGCACCAACCCCGTACTTTTTAAAAAGCTGTGGTATTGTCAAGTGTCTGGTTTTGTTTTTGCTTTTGCGTTTGCTTTTGTTTTGAGACGGGGTCTCATTCTGTTGCCCAGGCTGGAATGCAAGCACGATCATGCCTCACTGCAGCCTTGACTTCCCTGGGCCCAAGTATCCTCACTCTTCAGTTTCCCTAGTAGCTGGAACAGGCACACACCACCACGCTAGGCTGATTTTTTCTATATTCTTTGTAGAAATTGGGTTTCACCGTGTTGCCCGGGCTGGTCTCTAAATTTCTGGGCTCAAGCAATTTGCCTGCCTTGGCCTCCCAAGTGCTAGGATTACAAGTGCTAGACATGAGCCACCACACCCAGCCTGTGTGTTTTATTTCATTGAACCACAAGTTTTCTCCTTGATTATCTAAAATATTTCATATTTAATAAAAGTTTAAGATTAACATATGGCCTAGCTTTTTACCGCCAAAGTCAACTAGTGTTATCAGTTTTTTTGTTTTTCCTCTCAGATTTTTATAATATACACATGCACATATGTAGGTTTGTTCTTTTTATAAATAAAAATAACGGCCGACCAGGCGTGGTGGCTCACACCTGTAATCCCAGCACTTTCGGAGGCTAAGGCAGGCAGATCACTAGGTCGAGAGATCAAGACCATCCTGGCCAACATGGTGAAACCCTGGTGGCATGTACCTGTAATCCCAGTTACTCTGGAGAGTGAGGCAGGAGAATCACTTGAATCCGGGAAGTGGAGGTTGCAGTGAGCCGAGATTGTACTACTGCATTCCAGCCTGGTGACAGAGTGAGACTCTGTCTCAAAAAAAAAAAAAAAAAAAAAAAAAGGCCACATACTTACTGTTATGCATCAATGCATCACCTTACTTTTTCATTTAATATTGTATCTTGGAAATTGTTCCAAATACTTTTATAAAGAGGCTCTCTGGCTTTTTTTTCTTTTTTAAGACAGGCTCTGATTGTGTTGCTGAGGCTGGAGTACAGTGGCTGTTCACAGCCATGATCATGGCACACTGCAGCCTCGAACTCCTAGGCTCAAGCGATCCTCCTGCTTCAGCCTCCTGAATAACTGGGACTACATGTGTGCGCACCATGCCCCTGTTCTTCAGCCTATTTTATGGCTGCATTGTATTTTGCCATAGTTTTAAATAATTTTTTAACAATATCCTGTTGGACATTGAGGTTATTTCTACCCTTTTTGCTATTCCGAATGATGCTACAGTGAGTGATTTCAAATATGGATTGTTTCTCACATGTGCAAGTTTACCTTGATATACTTCTGGAAATGGAAATCCTGGTTCAGAGGCAAGTGCTTTCAGAGTTTTAAAAGAAATTGCAGAGTTGGTCTCACTACCAGGTGTAACATGTGCTCCCACCATCGGTGTATGAGAGCAGCTGTTTCCCCACAGCTTTGCCAACACTGTATGTTGGTGAACTTTTCTGACTTTCTGTTGAATCCTTTTTCTTTGCTTTGCTCTCACAGAGGTCAGCAGAACTGGCTACAATTAGATCACCGAGTTCTTGATCATGATTTGCCCAAGAAACCAGGCACAACCATTTTGTACTTTGCTGTGAGGTATGTATCCACAGACCCAGTTAGCATCCCTCTTTTTTTGCTGTTATTATTGTTTGTTTGTGTGTGTGTGTGTGTGTGTGTGTGTGTGTGTGTGTGTGTGTGTATGTTTCTATTTTTTACATTTCTGGTGATTAGAGATAGTAAATAAAAAGAGACCTATCAAAACATTATGATGTGAAAGAGATTCTCTGCTGTCGTGGTCTAGGGACCAAGTTACCATAGATACTGTAGAGCTGTTTTCTTTGAAGATAAAGGATAGAGTCTCCTCCTTTATTCCTCAAAGCCTGTTAGATCAGTTTAAAGCTGAAAAACATGGGTAATCTATTTTAATACATAAGGCTGTTTCTCACTCAACCTATTTTTAAGAATCTTATTATTTGAAATATGACAGACATTTGCTATTACATTTTATGTAGCAATAATGTTTTCTATAGGCTTGGAAATAATTGAATTTTATACAGTTTCATGCCTTAATTTGAATAGAGGACAAAATGCAAACAAATGTTCACAGAAAGAATTAACAGTACAGAGATCTGAATTCCATTCACATGCAGAGAGACTGCTGAAAATAATGCAGAGTCCACGACTTGTTCTCTGAGGTCTGCTTGGGCAAGTCACTTAACCCTATCCTGAAATGGATGTATTCAACTAAATCAGCAATTTCTCAAATGCATCTTATGACGGATCTATTTTTTTAGCATTAATTGTTCAGAATCTACAATAAATAAAATGTTATAAGATGTAATACTGGCCGGGTGTAGTGGCTCATGCCCGTAATTCCAGCACTTTGAGAGGCCAAGGCAGGTGGATCACTTGAGATTAAGAGTTTGAGACCAGCCTGGCCAACATCATGAAACCTCATCTCTACTAAAAATATAAAAAATTAGCCAGGCGTGGTGGTGCGCACCTGTAATCCTAGCTACTCATAAGCCTGAGGTATAAGGATCACTTGAACTCAGAGGCAGAGGTTGCAGTGAGCCAAGATCGTGCCACTGCACTCCAGCCTGGATAACAGTGAGACTCTGTCTAAAAAAAAAAGAAGAAGAAGAAGTAATATCTAATTTTCTCTACCTAGCTTGATGTAAAATCATTACTGATTGAGCTGAAAGCCTCTTCTTATGTGCTGACCCCCTCTCCCCACTTTGCTAAATTTGATGGAAATTTTTATGATAAATTTTGTTATGTTGGTATGAAATCAAATATGACAAAATGAGCTAAAGTAGTAGGTTTCTCATAAAGCTAGGTTAACCTGAAGAATGGTCCTGTATTCTTAGAATATGTTAATTTTTGTTTGTTTATTTGTTTGAGACAGGGTCTTCCTCTGTCGCCCAAGCTGGAGTGCAGTGGCACGATATTCACTCATTACAACCTCGGCTTCCTGGGCTCAAGCAATCAGTCTCTCAATAGCTGGGACTGCAGGCATGCACCACCACGCCCAGCTAATTTTTTGTATTTTTCGTAGAGATGAGGTTTTGCCATGTTCTCTAGGTTGGCCTTGAACTCCTGGGCTCAAGCATCCACTTGCCTCGGCCTCCCAAAGTGCTGAGATTACAGACGTGAACCATGCCTGATAATGTTAATTTTTGGAAGATGAAAATGTACTTTGTTTTATATGTTGAAGGTGTAGGTTTCATGCTTTTTGCGGGGAGGGGTTTTTTCTGATTACCTGGCAAAATCCTGTCGCATTTTGCAAATGCCTTTTATTTTAATTGAGTCTGCTCAATTCTGTTGAAATTCAAAAGTATGAGAATATGACCGAATATGTTTTAAAATAGCTTTTTTGGCCAGGCACAGTGGCTCATACCTATAATCCCAATACTTCGGGAGTCTGAGGTGGGAGATTCACTTGGGTCCAGGAGTTTGAAGCCAGCCTGGGCAACATATGAGACCCCATCTCTACAAAATATTTTAAAAATTAAGTGGGTGTGGAGGTGGGCGCCTGTGGTCCTCACTGCTCAGGAGGCTGCGGCAGGAGGATCGCTTGAGCCCAGGAGGTCAAGGCTTCAGTGAGCCTTGATCGTGCCATTGCACTCCAGCCTGAGTGACAGAGAGCCTGTCTCAAAACAAAACAGAAAGATCTTATTTGAATTAATCGATGGGGATTGTGGAGATTTGCTGCATCGTACTCAGCAAATGAAATGTTAGTCACCTCCGATTTCTTTCTTCCTTTTGGGGCTGAAATCTGGTTTACAATATAATTTCCTTAATTAAATAGAAGTAACATAACAAGAAGTAACTTATTTGCCAGAGTAGTTATATTTTTGAAACCCAGGAAGGAGGTAGCATAGTAGTGATTTGTCCAGGAACATAGCTGGTACGGAAAAGCACACAAAAATTTAAAAAAAAAAAAAAAACTGAGTTTCCTGGAAAGAGGTGATATGAATACTTGTGTCCATGGCAATGGGAAAAAAGAAATAGAACTAGCAAGCAAGAGGTTAAACAGCATATTAGTATTTAAGCAGAAGTCAGAGAATTGCAAAGTTTTAATCTTGTATTATATAGGGAAAATGTCTCAACACAAATAAAACATACTTTCCCAAGAGAATTATGTTATCACTATAAACATTTCAAATTATATGAATGTATGGAATGAAAAGTAAAAATTACTCTTTACCACCCCCAACCTTCACCTCTACCCCTAAGTTTGCTCCCCTTCTTAGAAAAATAGGATAAGTTGTTTGGTGACTTAATTTTTTCTTTGCAACTTAGAGAGCTTTCCTTGGGCATATAAAAATCTATTTATTTAAGCATTTAGGCTATTTCTAGTTGTTTATATTAAAATTTAGGTTGTAGCTGGCCAGGCACGGTGGTTCACACCTGTAATCCCAGCACTTCAGGAGGCTGAGGTGGGCAGATCACTTGAGGTCAGGAGTTTGAGACCAGCCTGGCCAACATGGAGAAACCCCATCTCTACTAAAAATACAAAAAATTTGCTGGGCGTGGTGGCAAGGGCCTGTAATCCCAGGTGCTCCAGAGGCTGAAGCAGGAGAATCACTTGAACCTGGGAGGCGGAGGTTGCAGTGAGCCAAGATTGTGCTACTGCATTCCAGCCTGGGGGATACAGTGAGACTTTGTCTCAAAAAAAATAAAAAAATAGGTTTCAGCTAACATCCTTGCACTTTCATCTTTTGTGCACGTGGTGTAGTGTTTCTGTAGTGTTAAGTACTCAATGAAAGCATTATGCCTTCAGAAAATTTAACAGGTACCATCTAGGTAGTAACCAGATTTATGCAGATTCTTTGACAGCCAATATCTGGTCTGTTTTGGGTCACAGAATATCAAAGGAGAAACCCTGTCTCGCTTTCTGTACAGCCATTCATAGGCACTCAATCTTCTCCAAGCAGGTTCCTGAAATTCCAGAGTGACCTGCTGGTTGTTCATCAGTTTCAGCACTTACTTGGAGCGTTATCTCAAGAGTGCCCCATAATCACTTCACATTACTTTCCCCTAACTACTTGCATGTTTAAAACCCTTATCAAGTTTTTAATTATTCACTTAGTTTTTCCTCCCAACAGTATAGTGAGATCATAATATTCTTTGTTATTATTCCAATTAAGTAGTTGTTGTTGCTCCAATTTGATTAAAGAAATGATAAAGGAAAAGCACACACCAAAGAATTTCATGAACTGACCGAGGTCACTGTGGAAGGTAGCTAGTTCTGTGGAGGTCCGGGAAATGGAGTTGTCTTGTGCTCCAGTGAAGTCAGTTGCTCCTCAGAGGGTCCCTAGCCTCCTATTTGGAGAAAACAGGACTATTGGTAATACTTCCATCGCAGTAGACACCATCAACAAATCTCCAGGTTGCCTGTGTTGACTGAAGAATAGAGAGTCAAAGAGAGCATTTGGTTCCGTTTTGATGTTCGCTCATTTTAGGAGACCCTGGAAGTGCAGGGGACCTCTTTTGAGATTGGGGTCATCACCTCTTGTGTCAGCACAGTCCTGCTGCATGCACTGGAACATGGAGCACAGAAGCCCCTCACTCGTGGACATCAAGGTGTGTGGTCACCAAGCAGTTAATGCACAGTGAGAAAGAACTCCCTATAGTGATAGCACATTAAAGCATGAGTACCACTGTTATTTTCAATGCAAACGATTAGAAATATCCTCATGCCAACAGTGAAGATAGGTTCAGTAGGTTATGGCACTTTCATAGTAAACAATGAATCACTTTAACAAAAGAGGTTAGATGAAAAAGTGCATTGTAATTCAGAGCTTCTCCAGATGGGAGAGGCAGGGCATGTCTGAATCATCTTGGGAAATTTTTCAAACTACACAGTTACTCTCCTCCAACTCCACATTCCTGGCCCAGATTCTGCTATAGTGCCATGGAGGGAGGGGTACACTGCTGAGCCCTTCTCCACCCCTCCTCTTATAAATCATTACTTTAATAAGTCACTGTTATCAGGGATGTTGTCATGTATCTCATCTCTCTTGCAGATGGATAAGATACATTATATCTGAAAAAAATATACAGGGAATGAGTATACTTCTGTAAAACATAGATTACTATTTATGCCATGATAAGTTCAAGTGATCACACTGAGTTTTTTTGAAGTTGGCATGTTTTAGAATCAAATACAGATCTATAAATACTGAGAAAATTCCTGGAAGGAGCTACACCAAGCTGTGAAGACTCATTTCTTCCTTCCTTCATTTATTATGTATTGGAGTTTTGCTACACTGTACTCTGCTCCATCCTAGGTCTGAGGACCCAATAGTGAAAAGGCAAAAGTCTCTACCATCATAGTCAGCATACACATTAACAAATGCATTCATTATATAATAACAGTCTGTTCATTCACCTGATAAATAGTTGCTGAGTTCCTGCTGTGTCTGGCCCTATACTAGATGCTGGGAATATAGCAATGGTAGAAGAAAATGACAAAATCTGGCCGGGTGCAGTGGCTCACGCCTGTAATCCCAGCACTTTGGGAGGCCGAGGCAGGTGGATCACGAGGTCGAGAGATGGAGACCAGCCTGGCCAACATGGTGAAACCCCAT